GTTTTTTCGCTTGCGCAATGGCTCCATTATTATCACACTACAGATATATGAGATCAATAATGATAGGAACTATTTCAAGTTCATTGATGAACTTCATGATCCAAATCACAATCTTTGTTGTCTCTGAAACATTGATGTAATAGGCTTCTATTATTGAATCAGTGATTATTTCCTATTTAGAACCTTTCCAACTAACCACTCCATTATAAATAGTAAATATATCCAGATTAAGACATGATATTCTTGTAAACACGTTCATCTTTATTTTTTTATAGAATCAAACTTTTTACTTTTTCATCAAGCTTGCATACAATATAAGTGTATTTGGATTAAAAACCTTCGAATTATGTTATGTACACTTTCTCTTGCAAGTTCATGTCAAGGAATGGAGTCTTGATATTCATTTATCATAGCTCATAGTCATGATATGTAACTATTGAAAGCAAAACCGAATGGACTTTAGTATGGCTACAGGTGAAAAGGTTTTATCAAGGCCAATTTCTTGTCTTTATTTATAATTGTTTGCTACTAGTCTTACTTTATATGTATGAATGTTTTCATCCATGATGACATTTTCTTGTAAACCTATTTACAAGCTATGGGCTTTATCCCATCAGAAAGTCGATCAAGCTCCAAACATTATTTACATACATTGAATTCATTTCTGATTTAATGGCCTCCAGCCATCTCTCTGAGCCAGTACTTGACTTTGTTTCTAGGAAGTTGGATGATCTTATTAGATTTACGTGAAGCTGACATGTCCTCATGAGTTTATACTTCCTGATCAAAAATTTATTCCTCAGCAAGTGTGGGACCAGACTCATGTTCATCTACTTGGTCAACTATATTTTTGAACTCTTTAACTCCATTAAATTTTATTTTGTTACCACTGTCATCTCCTAAAATGAACTTTTTCTCTAGAAAGACGATATGTCTCGAGAAGAAGAATTTCTCTCAATGTGATTATAGAATTGATATCCAATTATCTCTTTTAAATACTCATAAATATGCATTTATCGAATTTTACCTCGAGCTTATCCAATTCAGTGTACTTAATATAAGCATCACAGCCGAAAACTCTAATATAAGACAAGTTGAGCCTCTGCCTTTCCATAACTCGTATGGAATTTTGTCAACCGATTTAGATGTGACATAATTTAGTGTGTAGCATGTAATAATTATTGTATGATCCGAAAACGATTTTGGAAGGTTTGTATGGCTCGTTAATAATTGCACTATATCTAATAGAGTGTGATTTTTCCTTTCAGATACATCATTATGTTATGGTGAATGTGGCGGAGATCACTGCGATAGAATCTCATTCCCTTTTAGACAATCTAAAAATTTACACTTCAGATATTCTTCACCTCGATCTGACTTTAGTGTGAAAATATATTTGCCTATTTATTTCTCCACTTCTAGCTTGAATTTCTTGAACTTTTCAAGTGCTTCATATTTGAATTTCATCAAGTATATATGATCATTTCTGAAATAGTTATCAGTAAATGTGATGAGATAAGAGAAACATCATCCAGCATTAGCCGACATAGGTCTACATACATGATTATGTATTAGGCTCAGTATGACTCTTTCACTTTTTCAAGTAAAAGAGAATTTGGTCATCTTATCTAACATGCATGATTCGAAATTGTCAAATTATTAAAATCATTTGACCCCAAATATACATCTCCATGTAATTTCGAAATGCATTCATGTCATAGGTAACATTTAGGTTATCAATTTTATGTATTTTAATTTCTATACTCAATATAGAATAGTTAGTATCTAGAATATAAAATGTCATTTTATAATTTATCATCACCATTAAAATCTTGTCAAGATTAAAAGAACAAAAATTGTCCTTAACATTAATTGAAAAATAATGTATGTCCAAACATAAAATTGATTAAACGTTCTCGATAATGGCGGAAACAAAATAACATTACTCTAATTTTAATACTAAGCCTAAAGGCAATGGCAAGAAGTATGCTCATACAGGTAATGTAGGAACCTTTGATCATTTTCACGTGCAAGTTAATTTCTCCCCTTTGTAGTGGTCTAATTCTATATAGTTTCTTTATATTTATATAAATATGAAATTTATATCTGTTATCTAATACCCAAGAAGCTAATGAAGTAGACATAAACCTTTTAGTTTCTTTTTCAATTACATTTCATTCCACAATGATATCAAGGGACATCAGACTTGATAATGTCCTTATTTTCTTTGACTTTCTTAGCCGTCTTAGATGCTTTCCCAAAACCTCATTTAGACTTCTTTTTAATGTCCTTAGAGGAATCAATGACTAAGACTTGCCCACTACTAGCTTCAATATTGGGCTTAATGGTCTTAAGCATGTTCAACAATCAGGAAGTGTGCACTTGAATTTATTCATATTAAAATTCATAATTAGCTATGAATAACTCTCTAGCAGAGATTGTAGAACCAAATCAATACTTAGTTCATATTCCATGACTTAGTTCATATTCTATGACTAGGCAGAATTGAGACAACTTCTCAATGCTAGTCATCTTCATTACATGAGATTGACTGGAGATCGCACCAATATAGTTGTTTGGAAGTTTCATATCCTTCCACACATGATTATTCATCATACAACTCTTTGAGATGAAAAATCGTGTGTTAGCATCTATACCCTCATGTTGCTTTTGTAACTCAGGTGACATAGCTGCCAGCATCACACATGTTGCAGTCTATCATCATCACTATGTTTATTATAATAGCCACCTCTACCTTAACCGAGTCATCAGCAGGTATCTCTGGAAAGGGCTACTTAGCTCAAATTTATGACTCTCTTACATAAATTTATGGGATCCATACTTGATATGCAGTAGGGCCGAGATCTCATTTGTTATATTAAGATATTGAGTGTATTCCAACATTCTACATCACCAGAGTATGACTGTCCCTATACAAGGCACTGTGATGACCTCAAGTCAAATGATTAATTACACCACCTAACATTAGAAATTAATTATTGATAATCAGATAATTATCCACGTAGAATCTCTCCAACATGCCTCAATGTATTATTCTGTAACAAAACATTCACGTGTTCATTTACTTGTCACCACATTTTAACTTATGAGATCAGATACTTACTTTACAAGTAAGCAATGTCACACGTGATGGCCTATCCGTAATAATAATATTTGTATCTCGTTATTATTTACGACCACATATAATTTAAGATTTAGTCACATATAATTTGTGTCTCACAATCACAACTCTATGTGATTAACAAATTACTAAAACTTGAATCTATAGATTCTATTATTTAATTTATTAAAATATTAATTCAATTAAATAATAGATCTACCATAAAGAGAATGTATCAATTATATATTAAAAGTATTTAGTCCCAAAGTCAATTGAATTTAGAGTATAACACTTACAAATATAACCCAAAATAAGAGATGAAAAATTTAAATATAAGCATTTAATCTTGAATCTCTTCAATGACCTTAGATTGTACCATCTTCATTTTCAATTCGCCTAATATATGGAATGAATTTGGCTTGTATTGCTTTAATATAGTTTATGGTGGTCTAGCATACAATATCTTGGTTTTTCTATCGAGGATTTTTAAAATCCCTAAGATGACTCCTCCGAAGAATACAAAAGCTGGAGAGTTGGTAATTCAATTGGAATAGTTGGGTTTTCGGGTTAGCACTCTCTTTCTTTCGTTGAACAAGTATCATTCATTTAGTTGACCCTACATCAGCATTGAAATTCATTTTTTCCGTGTTTTCTTTTGACAAAGTGGTTTTCAGTATTTCATTTGTTATAACTTACATAAAAATAGTTTCCAAAATGAACTCCCAAATCAACATGGCACCATTGATTTATTTTTTAAATTTTTTCTTAAGTCCATTGGTGCGTATGTGCTAAGCTATTAGGTAGAAAAGGCAAAGTGAAAACCAGCAATTTTTGTGAACACTCATGTCTGATATTGTAGAATTTTCACTCCAAGTTTGTACACTTTTAATCTTCTTCAATTCGTCCTTTAACTTTTCAAAGTGTCAAAATTAGTGCCAAGACTTCTAACTTCTTCAATTTTAGTATTCAAACTTTTGAAGTGTTCATTATTAGTCACATGACAACAAGCCAGCCAACCAACCATTAAAATAACAAGAGTCAGTTAAGACCCGCACTCCACATCACTTGCTTATCTAACCTAATTGATGTCATGAAATAGAGGAAGTTAAAGTGATGCCTTCACCTCAGTCGAGGTGGTTTATAGAGCCCGAACCTCTATATCGATGGGAGGTACCATAAGCTGTTGCAAGCTATTTTTGAAGTAAAAAACCATTGACTCATATTGATATCTTTCATAGCTTCACCTCATCCAAAAGATTCTCCGTACTATTGATTATTTGACATCTCAACGAAAGACACCTCTTGGTCAACTTATTAACCTATTGCTAACCAAGAGATGTCTATTCTATGGTGGATCATGGGGGATGTGGAGGACCTTTCAATGGGTAGCCTGAAAAAGGTCCTTCATATTGGTAGTGGCTCGAGGCAGAGACAATCTTTGAGTTCAATGGTGGGTTTGCGGCTGTGGATCAAACATTTGGTAGAGACTCAGTTGGCCAATTTGGTGCAAATTTTGTCTCATCAATGTCCTACCTATATGCCCAATTTAAATTTTGCCATAAATAGATCCAACGATCTATCTTCTAATCTACCCAATAATGTGTTCCCTTTAATGCCTAACAACCTTAGAGCATTTGATTCTCCACAGATGCCGATAAACTAGAATCAATCTCAGAACCTATTAAACCCCTCTTTTTCATGCCATTATCATATAGCAAATAGTCAAAACAAAATCTATTCATGCCGTCATGACGAAAAGGTACAACCTAGTGGGGCATTGGTATAGGTCTTGAACTACCAGACAACCAAATCCACAAAGGTCCTTTTTTAGATAATGGGCAAGAGCTGTTAATGGTGAGACAACAACTTTGATGCGAAAATGCGGCGAAAAGAGGTGGGGAAGAAAATGGGTAACGTAGCCGAAGGTGGTACAGTCAACCGTGGGTGGGTGGCGATGGCATGTATGGTTTCTATCTTTTTGTGGAAGGGGTAGAGAGTTAAATTTTTCAATAGCCACCGAACTTTGCACCATGTTCCAACTTACTCACCAAACTTCATGAAGCATCCCATTGGCTATTGAACTTTGCTCTATCTCACTCCATCACTCACCAGATCGAATACGTTAGTAGATCTGTTGATGTGGAGGTTAGAAAAATGAGGAGTACGATTAAATATTGGGTGAAGTGCCAAATCAGCTCCATGTCAGAAATTACATCTTCCTAACACGGCTTAACAAATAAAGAAAACACCAAATAAATCTCCAAACCCTGAAGTCGTGAAATTCAATTCTCCCTAATCAATTCCTAATGTGAAGTCTCTAAGGTCGTGAAACATTCAATTATTCTCTCATGCAAAACTTTGAATTAGAGATATGATCGTCGACTTCATCGTCATCAAAGTTTTGATCGTAGAGAGCTCCGTGGTTGTTGCCGTATAGATGGTAAGATTGAAGATTTGTGCAATAGAATCAGTCCCCCATTGTAATTTACATTGTGCAAAATGAAATCTGCATCCACATTTTTGCACATATGGTAAGATTGAAGATTATGTCACTGTGGTTAATTTGATCAATTATAAAATGGAGTCTTGGAAGAAGATACTGGGTTATGGATAAATAATCAAACGGTTCATTCTTGGAAAAATTTGATATAAGCAACTAGTTTGGATGGGGATACTGCTGTATTGTTTGTGAAGGGATTGAATTTGCGAATAGGGATGCAGCTCATTGGTGGTTCATTTACGATAATAATAGTGATGATGGGATTGAAGAGGTTATTAACGAACTTGATCTAGAGGACTACAATATAACAAAGGCACATACGACCAAGGATAAAGATGCAAGAAGTAGGCTTTACGCATTGTGTTTTAAGAGCAGAGTGAATGCAATTGGGTTTCATTCATGGATGTCGACGAATTCTTCTTCTTTTCGTATTTAACACCAAGAGACAAAAGATTCACGAAACTAGGCTACACGGGGCAAAATTCACTTGCGTCATCATCAAGAATCCACTTAGCAACTTAATTTTATACTTATGTATCTAATCCTTTTGTTTTTGTAGACCAAAGATGAGAAAGGCCATATATATAGATATATTGCTGTAATTCATTTCTCTTGCAGTACCATCTGTGGTGATGTTCATGTGGTAGTTATCGAAATGAAGTACTCTTAATTCTGGAATTCATTTGTCTTGCAAATCTCATGTCTCTGCTAAGGATCAAATGTCTTAATTTATAATTCGTTAAATATTGCAATGCAAATTCAACTTTGATGGCCAATGAACAACAACAATGAACTAAAGCTACCAATTGCAGGTATCCATTCATTAAGAACATTCAACATGATACTAGATACATATAAAAGTAGTTAACAGATACACACAAAAGCAATAGATCATCCATCAAGTGTTTAGGACAATCAAAAAAATAAAGGAAGATAATTATTTTATCCAACATAATTTCTAGCAACGTTTCCATAAAAACATAAACATCAAGCTGATAATCATTTCGTAGTATGATTATCCTTTCCAAAAAGCACTAGCAACAAAGTACAATCTGAAGCCTTCTTGGTTGTAGTATGATTATCCTTTCCAATAGCATCAGCAAAAGAGACTCCCTTCCATCGATTCCAAACATGAATATGTTACTGGTAGCTACAGATGAATTGTTACCACATTTTTGCTCTTCTCAGCAACTTCTTCAAAACAACCAATCTTCAATCATTTCATCTCATCCAAGAGTTCAAATAGGGGGCTTTTCTAAAATTCAGTACCTAAAACATATTAGCGATATTTAATTTGAACTTTATGTTTAAATTATTAGGAACAAGATTATCTTTTGTAATCGTCTGTAATATTTTGCAATCTCCCTTTTCCATTCTTAGGATTTTGTAAACTATATATATTCTATTTTTTAGTATTGAAATAATATGCCATATATTTTCCCACTTTCTATTGTCCTTTATGGTATTAGAGCAAGGATCCTGACCTGTCCCTTTTTTCTCCACCATATTCAATTCTCCGATCCCTGACTTGTCGCCTAATGTCCTGCCTACCCTTCCCCACCAAAACCACTCTAGGTAGGTTATCCCACCAACTGCAAGCTCTTCATCCTCATCCAAACACGTCCTACCACTCTCTCCTGAGTCTCTCCGTCTCTCATCCGCACTACTGCTGTGCCTTCCCAATTTGAACCAGCCACCATACCCTGAGTCATTATTACTAGATCTAAAAACAACATCCACAAAACTATTCAAAAACTCAATCTAGCAGCCCAACTTACCACCTTCGATGTTAAACCAACCTCTATTACTTAGGCCATCAAAGATCACAAACGGCATCAAGCTATGTCTGAAGAATATGATGCCTTAGTTCAGAATGGCACATGGGAACTAGTTCTTCCTCATCCTTCTCAGAACTTGGTTGGTTGTAAATGGATCTTTCGAGTTAAATGATTACCCAATGGCTCTATTATCAGGTACAAAACTCGCTTGGTTGCTAAGGGCTTTCATCAGCGCCACGGTATGGACTATCATGATACTTTCAGTGCTGCTGTCAAATTGACCACTGTTTACTTTGTTCTTAGTCTTGCTATAAGCCAAGGGTGGTCTCTTCGACAAATAGATGTGAACAATACCTTTCTTCAAGGTAATCTCATTGACAATGTTTATATAGTACAACCGCGGGGTTTTATTGATCGAGACAATCCTTATCATGTCTGCAAGTTGTGCAAAGCAATCTATGGTCTCAAGCAAACTCCTCATAGTTGGTATCATGAATTGAGCCAATTTCTTTTTACATCTGGCTTCACCAATTCTCATGCAGACACATCCCTATTTATCTTCACTACATGAGGCCTTTTGATCTATCTCTTGATCTATGTTGATGACATAATCATTACTAGAGACAATAATGTAATCGTGAATAAATTTATCTTCCTCTTGGCAAATCAATTTTCTCTAAAGGAACTTGGTGCTTTAACCTACTTCCTTGGTGTTGAGGTCATCTCTTTTGCACAAGGCTTACTTTTGTCTCAACGACGATATATCTTGGATCCACTTGCTAAAACTAAAATGACTTATGCGAAACTGGTTACCGCTCCACTTGCCACTACTTCTATGCTTGCTCTTCATTCTGATTCTACACTCTCAGACCCCACGGAATACAGGACTATTGTCGACAGTATTCATTACTTGTTGCTTACACAGCCAGATATTGCCTTTGTGGTGAATAAGATTTCTCAATTTATGCATCGACCTACCAGTGACCACTGGAATGTTGCTAAACGGCTATTACGATACCTCTGTAGTACAGCTGATCATGGCATTATTCTCTATCTCAGTTCTCCGATGTCTCTACATGTATTCTCTGATGCTGACTGGGCCAACAACAATGATGACTTCACATCTATTAGTGCTTACATTGTTTATCTTGGCCGCAATCCCATCTCTTGGAGTTCAAAGAAGCAGAGAACTGTTGTACGCTCATCTACTGAAGCTGAATATCACTCTGTTGCCACTACTGCTACAGAATTACACCGTCTTACTTCTTTACTTTCTGAACTAGGCGTCCAACTCTCTCAACAATTGGTGATTTATTGTGACAACGTTGGTGCCACGAATCTATGCTCTAATCCTGTCTTTCATTCATGCGCGAAACATGTAACCTTGGATTATCATTTTATTCGTGAACAAGTTCAGAATGGTGTCCATCATGTTACTCATGTCTCCTCAGAAGATCAATTGGCTGATGCACTTATCAAACCACTGCCTTGTGCTTGCTTTCTCCTATTGAAGACCAAGATTGGACTCTCCTCACGGAGGTCCATCTTGCGGGGGCATATTAGAGATATTTAGTTTGAACGTTATGTTTGAATTATTAGGAACAAGATTATCCTTTGTAATCTTGTGTAATCTCCCTTTTCAATTCTTAGGATTCTGTAAACTATATATATTCTGCTTTTCAATATTGAAATAATATGCCATATATTTTTCCACTTTCTATTGTCCTTTAAAAGACACTTACTTCCAAATTTTAATATAGAGTTTGTCCCAGCAATATCGTTTTGACACATAAAACTATTGGAATTTTCAGTTTTATCGCTAATCATGTAATTCATTTCATCGACATGCAAGATAGTTTCGTCAACGTGACCTTTATTCCAGTCAACAGATTCAACAATGAGCTATCTTTATTAGAGTCAAACACAAAATACCCACAATTCAAACTTATATTAGACTCTGAGTTATAGTATGTATCGAACAAAGAATGTTCTTTTGCAAATTCGAATTCGATATTGAACCAGTCTTATCAGCACCAAAAACAAAACTTGTGTTACAAAATTTTCCAGGCACACCCCAACTCTTATTGCACTCCCCATTCTTCAAACCAGCACTTTGTCCCATATTGATATCATTATTATCGAAAACAACTCTTACTGAACTCCTCATTTTCATTATTACCACTTTAGAGAATTGGCATGAGAGACTAATTGAATGGATTTCACAACCTCAGAGATTTCGTGTTAAAAATTATTTTGGGAGAATTGGATTTCACGACCTTAGGATTTGAAGATTTCATTAGTGTTTCCTTCAGTTAAGCCATGTTTGGAAGATGTAATTGCTAACATGGAGCTGATTTGGCACTTCACTCAACATTTAGCTGAACAACTCATTTTTCCATTCATCAGGTCAGCAAATCTATTAACAAATTTCATCCGGTAAGTGATAGAGTGGGACAGAGCAAAGTTCAATGGCCAATGGGACGCTTCACAAAGTTCAATGAGCAAACCGTAACATGGTGTAAAGTTCAGTGGCTATTGATACATTTAACTCGGGGACAGGTTGGGGTGGATAAAGGTGGGAAGAAGATAACGTTTTTATTTTATTTTATTATTTTTTAATTGTTTTATGTGGAAAAATAATAAAGTTATCATTTTGTCTCTTTTAGATTTGGTCAAAATATATTTTCTTGGTCAATAACAACATGAAAGGCTTGGGATATGAACTAAAAGTTTGGATAAAGTCTGTTATAAAAAGAAAGGTTTGGAATTATGACTGCAATTATCCCTTATTATTTATTGCCTTCGAATAATACTCAACAACTATAAGAGTTTTCTTCAAATCTTTATTCTTTGAACTAGAGTTGTCAATTCGACTCGTCGATTCGGATGGCCCATAACTCGATCCGTAAAAAGTCCTAGTCAACTCGACTCAGGGTTCGATTAAATCGAGCCATTTTTTTGGATGATGGCTCGCTCGAGCTGACTCGTAGGCTTGTTGAGTCATAAGATTCGGTCTGGAAGTCAAAATGGCTGCTTGTAACACGGTGCCATTTTGTACTGTCACATGCTTGGCTGCCTGCTTTACGTAGGCAGCCAGTAGCCACGCAACGTCTGAAGTAGGGAGGCACCTGCCTGCCGCTTGTCTTAAATAAATAAAAAATATCGAGCCAGCTCAACTCGAGCTAAGCCTCAATTTTTCTATTGAGCTTGGCTTGGTTCGGTCCAAAAACTACCGAGCCTTACTGGAGCCGAGATCTTTAGTTCACAAGCCGGCTGAGCAAGGCTCGTTTACATCCCTAACAATGTTTTCAAACTCGAATTGGCCCAATCAGTTCAATCAGAAAACCTTGACTCAGTTGGGAAATCAACTCAGTTGTTATCTTACAACCGGAGAAACAAAAACTAGTAAAAATTCGATAAAATGATTTGTTCAACTGAAAATCGGTGAACTAGACACGATTTTACCGAGTTTTTTGGCCAACTCGCACAAAATAAATAAATAATAATAATAATTGTTGACCCCAAAAAAATGAACTAACAGAATCACTGCCACGTCCCCTCCAAGTGGACCTCCCATTTGTTATGAAATGAATCGCATATACATAGAAGTGAAAATGGGCCAAGTGGGCCTCATGGGCACGACTCGAGCCAATATTAG